GCATAAGGTCAGGATTCACCAGCGCAGCAACACTGACTCGGCGTAGGGAGGGGACGGCTAAAGAAGAATGAGATAGAAGTGAGGAGACGTGGGAAGGCACTGAAGAAAATGACACTTTTCACAGCTTAGTCCTTAGCCAGCCTTAAAGTTTATGATTGTTTTTCAAGTTCAGCTATAATTTATCTTCAGCTCCTTGTGAACCAATCATTACTTCATCAACACATTTGTACCAAACATTTTTACAGCCTCCTGTCAAAAAAAAGTTGAATTTGAGGCAATTTAAGAAAAACTCCTATATTTAATTGAGAAAATAGGTTGTTTTTTGTTGTTTTCATAGGGACTTACTAAGAGTAAGTGACTGAGCCAAATACTAGAACGTCCAAGTGCCTGGTCTATATAGGCACTTGTTTACATTGACCCTAAGAAGCCTTGAAAAATAGCTCAGTATCTATACCTTAAGTTCCTTACAATTCTTAACAAGGGAAATAATAATTACCTGTTAAGATAGAATAAGGATCAGACAGTTAGCATTTGTATCGTGCTTTAACAAAGAAAAGCACTGTGAAAGTGTTAGCAATCTCTGCTGAGGGCTCCCACAGTATTTTCTTCTCTCCCACTCTTTAATTATGGCACCCTCAACCCCTGACTTGGAATTTCAGTTCCTTGATCAGGATGACTGTCACCTCCGTGGACCTATCTGAAAGACCATGATGAGATCTCTCTTTAGTTTTTTGAGAGAGTTAATGTTTCCAATGCTCTTGATGTAGCTTCAGCCACAAGGCAATGGCATGCAATTCAGGAGAGCACTTAACTGGTAAGTGAGGTATGACTTTCCATAGAAAATTCAGTTTGTGGGTTTCTGCTTTGTTTATCTATGCTACTAATCATATCACTTGGTCCTTATAAAGCATCTTTTATTGAAATCTCTCCAGCATGCTCATCAAAGAATTTTGGCTTGTAGGGGCTTTTTTTGGTCATTGTTGGTTTTTTGTTTTTGTTTTTAATGAACACCATTTGATATCCAAAATGCCAGGTGTGTTTTCTGTAATTCTTTCGGAAAAAATTTTTAACATCACATATTGCCTAGAACAAATGGTATTGAATCTCTAAAGATTCAAGAACTGCTAAAAATATCTGACTTGCAGAGTCTAACTTTCTAAACTTGGGAAAGGACAATCTCCAATAAAGAACAAAGAAAGTGTAGCAAAATATTTTTTTTATGTTGCTTAAAATCTTTATCACAAATTCTATAAAAGCACATTTATTGATATTTCTATGCTAGAAAAAATACAATGAACATTTAAAATTTTTTAATTGATGATAACATTTTAATCATAGTGCATCTATGATTTACTTAAGGAAAAACAGACTCATTAAAGACACAAATTAAAGGCCAGTATGTACTTGAAACAAAATAAGTTCTATTTTTTAATAACATTTATGGTCGAAACTAATATTTTGTGGATTGAATTGCATAGAATATTAACATTTAACATTTCACAGGGAAAAAAAAGGCAAGTCGATTCTGGATTGACATTTCTGAAGCATGTGCTACTTCTGTCAAATGTGAAGTAGACAGGGCTCATCATAATTAATGTTTCACATTTGGCTAATCTGAGAACATCATTTTGAAACAACAAATTAGTAGTTCATCTGTCTATCTCCTGTTTCCCCAACATCTTGTACTTCTCAACATCGCAAGTGCTCCAAGTTGAGCAGAATGGTAGGCGATTGGCACTGACTGACATTTATGCATTAAACATCTACACACACAAAATCACTCTCCATTATTTCTTTAGTGATTCAACCTTTCATGTCAATTTGCTTTCCTTAATTGCTTTTTTGTTTAGTTTCCAGGATTTTTTAAAGCTGTTCGTAGTATGAAGCAATGTTTGAAGAAGTTTGTCATCTTAAATAGCTCCTTTTTTCACTTGTTTAACACTTACAAACACAAAGAAATGTCAACATATTAACTAAATACTGTTGTTTTAATAGATTTAATTAAAAGGAATATTGCTTGGGGACTTAGCTATTCACTCATCCATTCATCCATCCATCCATTCAACAAATGTTTTTTTGAGAACTTACTATGACACTATACTGAGACAAGAAAATATGATTCCTACCCTTAAGGATTTCCAAATCTAGTAGAAAAAAATAAATAATAATTAGAATGAAGTCTGAGAAGTGTTGTAATAAATTTGCACATAGCATAGGAAATGGAAATGAAAATTCCACTAGCGTTGGGAGGAATGGTTAAGATGGTTTTAGATGTAGTGACTCAAAAACTATATACGCAGTGTTTTTTCCTAGAACATAAAAATTCTGGTTTTCTTCCTATCACTTAAGATTCAACTCTGACTTTGGAAAAGGAGATTTTAGAAGAGAAGAATAGAAGGACAGTTGTAGCACTTCACAAAGAAACCTTATTCCAAAGGGTGTTATTGCAATTGACCATTCCATTTTACCTTTTTGACAGGCTAATGTACTTTTTTCGATTAATCAGAAGATAAGAAAACAGCCCCTACCTTCAAGAACCGCACAACTTAGCTAGAGAGAGATTCCTACACAACTAATCATAATATGATTATGAATTCAAAAAATATAAAACCACAAGGAAGAAACACGATACTTTTTCAGGAAGAAAAGGCAAATGTGAGTAATCTGGTAAGGCCAGAATATACATTACATCTGGAGTAAAAAATGTGAGGTGAACTTGGGAAAGTAGATTGGGATCAGATATAAAATCTTGAATGCCACCGTAAGAGATTGCTACTTTATGCATAGTTATTTAGGAAAAATCAAATGTTTTCAATTACTGGAGTGATGTCATGTCATCTATGCTTTAAAAATATAATTTAGATGGATAAGGAGAGACTGAATGGAGGAATTAATAGTTCAGTGTACAAAAGCACAATGAGGATGCTCTTGTGATGAGGAATTGAACTAGACAAATAGTGAGAATAGAGGAGTGGAGAATTTGACAAACATTCCTGAAGGAGTGAGTCTGTCTGATAGTGTTTAAAGAAGTTGATGCATCCTTAGAAATCAGGGATGAAGGTAACTCAGGTAGACCGGAAGTCTCTGCAGAAGGGCATTCCCTGTTCACATGGAGCAAGACTAATTCTGGGCAAAGCAGGAATGATGGGGATCTGGTCTACAGAAATGGTTAGTGCTTTAGGATTTTGAGGAAGCAGAGGAAAAATGATGATAGTAGCGACCGCTTTTCTGAGTGCTTATGGTGTCCGGGATACCATGCTAACTGCCTCATGCACGTATCTCATATAATCCCTACAACAGCAGAGGAGAAGAAATGATTCCATCTCATTTTACAGATAAGGAAATCTATGCACAGATAAATTAAATGACCTAGTAAAAATCCCATGATTAGCACACAGTAGAGATGGATTTGTAAACCTAGATTTGTCTGACTCTAAAGCAGGTGTTGACCCACAGGCCAAATCTGGCCCACCACCTGTTTTTGCAAATAAAGTTTTACAGGAGCACGGCCATGCAGGTTCATTTACCTCTTGTCTGTGTCTGCTTTCACACTACCTTAGCAGTCGAATAGCTGCAACAAAAGCCATATGGCCCACAAGGTCTAAAATATTTACCACCCGGCCCTTGATAGAAAACATTTACCCACCTCTGCTCTGAAACTCTCATGCACAACCATTAAACAGACACGTATTGAGCACGTGTTATGTCCCAGGCCCTGGGCGAGGCACTATTCCTTATAGTCACTTAGGCAAGACAACAGGAATGCTCCTGACTCCAACCACTTGACACATTAATAAATTGCTCACCTTGACACTCCTCATCTTGAATGGCACTGTTAGGCAGTTGTTGTTGGTACGTGCTGTCAAGTTAACTCAGACTCCTGGTGACCCCATGAATAAGTGATATCCACAATGTCCTGTCCTCAACAGCCCTACTCAGCTCCTGTAGACTCATGCCTATGCCTGCCTTTATGGAGTCAATCCATCTCATATTGGTCTTCTTTTCCTGCTGCCTTCCATTTTTCCCAGCATTATCATCTTTTCCAAAAATTCCTGCCTTCTTATGATGTGTCCAAAGTAGGATGGCCTCAGTTTTACCTTTTGTGCCACCAGCAGTAGTTCAGGTTTAATTTGCTCTAGGACCCACTTGTTCATTTTTCTGGCAGTCCAGGGTATCCATAGAGCTCTCCTCCAACACCATATTTCAAATAAATCTGCTAGGCAGAGCACGCCATAAATAGGAGAGCAATGGCTTCACTATTGCTGTTTCCATACTTGGCCCAAGATATACATATGGTCAGCCCTTGAAGTTTGCAAGAAATGCCACCCAAGTTCTTCATAATCTTCAAATTGTCAAATATAACTATGGCAAAAATTAAATTGCATCAAGTATAATTGAACATTTTAAATGATTTCTCAGATCCACAATGATTCTATAAATACAAAATCATACATGAATTCTGTAAGTAAAATAAAATTAGCAAATTATATTCTGCTGAATAGGATGTTAAAATGGGCCTATTGATTTCAGCAGAAGTGCCAGTACTTCGCAAAGTGAGTGTGCATAGACTCTGCTAAATGGAATTTGCAAGGAAATGTTCAGAGCCTATTTCCTGTCTCTTGTGTCCTTCACTCGTGAGCCCTTCACCCACTCCAGGAAAAGAGACAAGAGCAAGAAGTAGGGGAGAGGGGCTTTTGTGAGAGAGATTCCTTAGGAGATGACTGTGTTGTGAGTCCCACCCTCTTCTTGCATCTAGAAAGGATCTAGAGAAAGCCTCTAAAAAATGACTTGAGGGAAGAGTCAAATCTGAACATCGACTAGGGCCAGAGCCTACACAAGTAATACCTTAAGTAACAAGTTCAACCTAAGTCAGAAAATTCCTACCCTCTGATGTAGTTATCTATTACTATGTAACAAGTCACCTGACCTTAGTGACACAACACAAAAGGAACTTTATTATGCTCATGGATTCTGTGGGTCAGGGAGTCAGACAGGGCACAGTGGGGATGGCTTATTTCTGCTCCGTGTTATCTGGACCCCAGCTGGGAAGATTCAAATGACTGGAGATGTTTCAAGCATCACTTCTGCTACACTCTCTTGATCAAGAAAGTCACAAACCTACCAAGACCCTAAGGTAATGGGTATATACCCTACCTCTGAATGGGAAGAGTGGCAAAGAATGTGTGGCCATGTTTTGAAACCACACCCACCTTCCCTGCTTCTCTCTCCATGTACCATCCAAGAGGGAACTGAAACTTTATTTACTCAGTTGGGGTAGGGGTGGGGAAAGAGAGAGAGAAGGACTGCCTTCTTCTCCTGTTATAGATGACTTGCCCACTAGGGTCTGGCTGAGGAAGTGTGAAAGATTTGACTTTAAACAAGTTTCAGGTTCTGATTATTGTTGAGGTCACGATGTTCTAATTTCTAAAGTAAGTGCAACCAAAGAGACGGTAAAACTGTCTATTACCCTAGAGATACAAAAAAAGACCGAGATTGTCACCAAGTTTTCATCCAGAAATAAAATGTTAAGGGACAATTGGAAATAAAAATAAAGACTTGCTTTGATCATATTGTATAGTTAGGCTTTTTCACCAAATTGACTGCATACATCATTACTCTGGTACTCTTAACTATAAGCTTACCTGAAACTACAAAACTGGAGTGGTGATGATATATCAAGATGATAGTTGGGGGGCCGGCCTGGTGGTGCAGTGGTTAAGTTCGCATGTTCAGCTCCTCAGCAGCCCGGGGTTCACCAGTTTGGATCCTGGGTGCGGGCATGGCACCGCTTGGCATGCCATGCTGCGGTAGGCATCCCACATATAAAGTAGAGGAAGATGGGCACGGATGTTAGCTCAGGGCCAGCCTTCCTCAGCAAAAAAGAGGAGGACTGGCAGTAGTTAGCTCAGGGCTAATCTTCCTCAAAACAAAAAAAAAAGATGATAGTTGTTGTTTAGTACATGTAGTTTGTGAATAAAGAAGATCTTGTTGAAATTCACCAACCTTTGAAGCAAGATGAAATCTGGAGATCAAAGTTCAGCAAGACCTCCTGACCCTGTAGCAAGTCAGTGGGATCAATATTGGTGGAATGTGGTGAAGCAAAGGATGCAGAAGTTAAAGGAGACCTCTGAGAAGGAGAATGTGAAGCACCAGCCAGGAGAGCACTAGCAGAAGAAAGAACATGATGATTGGCAAAGTTTCTTCCCTGTATATAAGTCTTTAGGACCTCCTTCAAGTTTTGAATGGAGGAGTGACATGATCTGATTTATGTCTTAAAATTATTATCCTGGCTGCTGTGGTGGGAAAAGTCAGGGGTGGGGAGTGGGGGAAAGAGAGAAGTCATAGAAGTTTGCAAGGGTGAAACAATTAAGAAGCTATAAGAATGGTTTAGGTGAAAGATAATGGTAGTTGACACTAGGATGGTAACAATGGGCATAGTGAGAAGCGACAACAATAAAAATGTGTGAGTAGTCAGAATGTGGATATATGTTGAAGAGAAAACTAAAGGACATGCTGACTGATCAGGTGAATGGTGTGATATTTGTGACACTCTTTAAGAAAGAATTCTATGTGGGATGAGAAACGGGTGATATAAGTCTAACTAAGCGTTAGTATAGGTGAAAATCCTTAAGTAGACCAGTTTAGTTAATAATAATATTCATAGCAATTAATACTTCATGGTAATTTTATAGCTTAGATCACAATTCCATAAATCCTTTCACTTCATCTCTGAAATAACTCAGACTATGCTCGTTAAGATGATACCAAGTAAAAAATTTTAGTCTTTGATAGAGAACGTAGAGGCAGAGAAGGAATTGGAAGGTTTTGCCTTCTCTCTGCCATCTCTTAACAGCATATTATTTCCCTGAGTTTGAATCTCTCTCTTTCTTGTTTTTCAGCTTGCTCCAAACACAGCTTTCAGGACTTTTGTAGTCATTAGCATTTCCCACAAAGTCTTTCTGGACTTGAGGCTTCCTGACCTGATTCTTTAGATATGTGGCAGTCTTTTGTGTCTGTGTGCCTCTTTTGTACATGATCTTTTTATGTCTGAGCTCAAAGACTTCTCTATACAGACACATTGATCTCTTTCATGTTTCTTCAACTTCCTTCCTGAGATTATCTATCATTCTATAGTCAAAAAAATCTTGTTTTAGAACCCTTCATTTCTATTTATTATGTCTGCCCATAGACACCCTCCAATATTTTCTCCAAGTTTTTGGAAACTGCTTTCTTAACGTTGAAGAGTATTTTTCAGTCGTGCACCCTCATCAATAAATTAGGTAACATACTGTGACCTCCTCTCAGAATTATATTTCTGTAAGGAGACAACAAGAGCACCTGCATTAATTATAGAGAGATTTCTTTTATTTGGTATTTCACTTTGCTATGGTTTCTAACGGGGGATTACATTTTCTATAAAGTCTATAATTGGCTTTTAGTGATAGCTGGTCAACCACTGTCAGATCCCAAGTTTGCTATTAGTATCAACACAAGAATAATAACACACACACACACACACGCACGCACAGTTAAAAGCAAAATTCTTAGAGAAATAGGATTGATTTTCCAAAACTAGCAATATTGTAATAGGATAACATTCAAATGTCTATAATATTTCTTTTTCCAGGTTTTCTTTCTCCATAACAAGGCTTTGTTTTCATTTTTTAATATAAACTATATTGAAACGAGTGTTCTACCTCTGACACTATATTAACAAAGGCATCTGCCCTCACATTTCAATCTCATTTCAGCTGAAGTCAACTTTCACCAAGCTGTTTCAACATTCAATTTTTAAAGTTTTCCTGTTATCGGCTTTCAGATCCCAAAACTCCAGGAAATTCTGTGACCAATGCTAACGATGATGTGCTCCAAAATTACACTATACACCTCCATTTCCTTTGCCTTCTACTCAAATAAGCCCCTTAAAACATCTTCACTCGGCAGTATGTTGCCAGGTTTTACCTCTTACATTTGGGTTTTTTCCTCTTGTTCTTTTTAGACTTTAATTCTTTACTGTGATCTGGGAGATTCTCATGTGTTAGTACTCAGCCTTTATCCACAAATAAAAATTTTTCTAATTGATCCCTTGAGTTCAGGAATTTGAGATCTCAAACCAATAAAGCAACTGAGATGCATTAATTTTTTATTTAAATCTTCCCTTTTTTATTTTATTGAAAATACAGAAAAAGGTAGTTTTAAGTTTCTGTAATTTCTTCAAGCAGAGCTCCAAAAGAAAACAATGTTGCCAAAAATGTCCAAATTTTAAAATCACGATTTCATATGCTATATTATACATATATGTGTATATATACATATATGTGTGTATATACATATATGTAGCTTATTGCAGCTTTGAGTTTTCAATATCTAGTAGTAACGCATTCTTGCCAGATTTCCCTTCCATCTATTTTAAGATACAATAAAAATAATTTGACTGGAAAACTAAATGATTTTTCAAAAATACCGTCTACTTTCACAGTTGCCTTGAAAATGGGCAGGTTATAGATAGGTAAACTTAATCAATAACTCAGGGTTTCTGTTCTCTTTCTGAAACACAAATGTCATAAAGGTAAACTCTCCACTTAGGGTTACCATGAGTAATCAATTAGAAATGACAAAAAGGAAAACAGAAATACTCCCTGGCCAAACATTTTCATCATTAACAATAATAGAAATGTTGTTTCCAACAAGCCCTTAGGTATTGCAGGTACTCAGAACCTGAAAGTAATTTCTCATGGAGGGGACTGGCCTGGCGGGAAAGCCTCTAGGACTTTTTTCTTCTTCTTCTTAAGTGATGATTACATAAAAATGTGAAAAGGTCAAGTATATTTCCTGTTCAAAGAAACTATCTAAGAAGACAAGCTGCCGTTTCAGGGGATAAAAAAAATAATCTGTTGTAGGAGTTCATGGTATAAACCCTTTGGGCTAGTAACTGTCCTAAAAAGGTGATACTTTAGATCTATTTCATGGTAGCATCCTACATGCTATGGGTCAGCTACATGGTAATCTGACTTCCATACAGGGTTTTTAAACTGAACCAACTCATCCCCTCTGAGAGAAGAGAGGGTTAGTGGGAGGGGGAAATCACAAGCTCAAAAGTTGTAAGCTGTTTCCAGCAAGTTCTCTATCTGGAGCCTCCTCTACTAACTTGACCACAGCACCTTGGTGACCTGCGCTATCTTTTTAAGATCCAAATAGTGAGACAAAGGGCAAGAAGGGCCATGTTATTTCTCCTCTAAATAACAGCACGGAAGATGAAGGCTTGGCGTGGAAATGTTGCTCTCACCTGATCTCAGTTCCTTCACATCACCTTTTTGTTCAGGACCTTTTTATACTCTTAAAAAACATTGGGAACCACAAAGAACTTTTATGTGGATTATGTCAATGGATATTTACTGTGCTAAAAATTTAACACGGTGAGAATACTTTAAAATATTTATTAACTTACTAAAACAATAACAAACCCACTGCATATCAATATAAATTACATATTTTGTGAAAAATAACTACATTTTCCCCAAAAAATCTAGTCAGAAGCATAGCAAGGGTTTACATTTTTGCAGATCTCTTTAATGTCCAACTTAAAGACAGTTGGAGCCTTATATCCACCTCTGCTGTCCATCTGTTGTGATAGCGAACTCTACCATATACTCATGAGACAATGAGAGTGAAAGAAGGCGAATAAGATCTTAGTATTATTGTGAAGATGGTTTTGATCTCACAACCCCCCCCCCCCCACAGGGATCTCTGAGACTTTCAAGGATCCCTAGACCACCCTTTGAAAACCACAGCTCTACAAAGTCCAGTACTGTGGTAATAAGATTAGGAATTCAAAATCCCTGTGGTAGAATAAGGAAGGCAGAAACAAACCACCTCTTCAGTTGAAGGGTACGTGGGAGGAATAAATTAGCTAAAGAAACACAAGTTGATAACATGACTTTTTTAAGTAGAGTGGACAGTGATCTGGGGCTTATAAAGGACTGAGGTTGAACTTAACAGTGGAGATTTGCTTTAAATTAGCAAACACAAGGCTCAACAAGCTTATGGGGAGACCAATGACTCAGGTTGTAAAACATAAGAACATTCAAGTTTCAGTAGTCTGTAGAGGTCATCTTTTATCATCCTTAACTTTTT